GAGGACTGATCAAAGAAGGGGAAAAAGATCTCAGTTCTTCTAGATCCCTGCTGTCATGAGGACCAACTTTTGTGATTGTCTATCACATAGAACACTTGCTACATGGTTTAGGTGGACCTAAACATTATAAATTGGATTTTTTTAAAGATTTTTTTTTAATTGAAGTGTAGTTGATATACAATGTTGTGTTAACTTCTGATGTACAGCAAACTGATTCAGGTATGTGTGTGTGTATGTATGTATTCAGGTCAGTTTTCATTCCCATCACAAAGAAAAGCAAAAATGTCAAAAGATGTCCAAGTGACCACACAATTGCACACATTTCACACTCTAGCAAAGTAATGCTCAAAATTCTCCAAACCAGGCTTCAACTGTATATGAACTGTGAACTTCCAGATGTCCAAGCTGTGTTTAGAAAAGGCAGAGGAAACAGAGATCAAATTGTCAACATCCACCAGATCATAGAAAAAGCAAGAGAGTTCCAGAAAAACACCTACTTCTGCTTCATTGACTATGCTAAAGTTTGTGACTGTATGGATCACAACAAATGGTAGAAAATTCTTTAAGAGATAGGAATACTGGACCACTTTACCTGCCTCCTGAGAAATCTGTATGATTTAGAACCAGACATAGAACAACAGAATGGTTCCAAATTGAGAAAGGAGTATGTCAAAACTGTATATCATCACCTTGCTTATTTAACTTATATGCAGAGCACAACATGAGAAATGCTGAACTGGATGAAACATAAACTAGAATCAAGATTGCCGGGAGAAATATCAATAATCTCAGATATGCAGATAACACCACCATTACGGCAGAAAGTGAAGAGAAACTAAAGAGCCTCTTGATGAAAGTCAAAGAGGAGAGTGAAAAAGCTGGCTTAAAACTCAGCATTCAAAAAATGAAGATCATGGCACCCGGTCCCATCACTTTCTGGTAAATACATGGGGAAAACAATGGAAACAGTGGCAGACCTTATTGTCTTGGGCTCCAAAATCACACTGTAGGTGGTGACTGCAACCATGACATTAAAAGATGCTTGCTCCTTGGAGAAAACCTGTGACAAACATAGACAGCATAATAAAAGCAGAGACATGACTTTGCCAACAAAGGTCCGTCTAGTCAAAGCTATGGTTTTTTCAGTGGTCCTGTATGGATGTGAGAATTGGACCATGGAGAAAGAATTGAACTATGTGAGAATTGGACCATGCTCACTGAAGAACTGATACTTTTGACCTGTGATGTTGGAGAAGACTTGAGAGTCCCATGGACTGCAAAGAGATCAAACCAGTTAATCCTAAAGGAAATCAACCTGAGTATTTATTGAAAGGACTGATGCTGAAGCTGAAGCTCCAATACTTTGGCCACCTGATGGGAAGACCATCTGGCCACTGGAAAAGACCCTGATGCTGGGAAAGATTGAAGGCAGGTGGAGAAGGGGATGACAGAGGATGAGATGGTTGAATGGCATCACCGACTCAATGGACATGAGTTCAAGCAAGCTCTGAGAGTTGGTGATGGACAGGGAAGCCTGGCATGCTGTAGTCCATGGGGTGGTAGAGTCAGACACAACGGAGCAACTGAATTGGATTGAACTGAATTGATATATTCAGTTATATATGTGTGCATGCTAAGTCACTTCAGTCATGTCCGATTCTTTGTGATGCTATAGACTGTAGCCCACTAGGATCCACTGTCCATTGGTTTCTCCATGCAAGGATACTGGAGTGGGTTGCCATGCCCTCCTCTAGGGGATCTTCCTGACTCAGAGATGAAACCCACGTCTCGTAAGTCTGTGCATTGGCAGGCAGGTTGCTTTCCAGCACAGCCACCTAGGAAGCCTCAGTTATACATACATACATTTTTAAAGTATTCTTTTCTTTATGGCTTATTACAGGCTATTGAATACAGTTCCCTGTGCTATACAGTAGTATCTTCTAATTTACCTGTTATTGTATAATGGTTTGTATTTCCTGATCCCAAACTTCCAATTGTCCCCCCTCTACCTCCTTCCCTCTTGCCACCCACAAGTCTGTTCTCTGTGTCTGTGCGTCTAAAACATTGTATTCTAAGATAATGGAAAGGGACATTTTACAAAGTCCTATTCTTCAGTCTTGTCATCCTTTCCCCGTCTACCCAGCCTCAAACTTCGGGTGCAGCTTTGTTCTGGAAAATTGTTACTAGAGGTGATGCTTACCTCAGGAAAAGAAAAGGGGAAGAAAAGTTACTGTTGCCGCCCAGGTTCTCTGCGGGAGCATTCCTGATTGCTTAAAAAGACAGCCCTGCTTCAGTTAATCTGCCGTCAGTGGGAATCTTGAAAGGAAATCAACCAGAATTTCAAAAAATGCAAATTAAAACAGCAATGGGATATGAAAAGCAAGTTGGTAGATTTTGTTTTAAAGTGGTCCCCAAGACAAAGGAGGAAGTTCTCAGAGATGGCTGCCAGAAGCATCTGCGTCACACAAACATAGGTTTGTCCCCCATTGTCCCTGGGAAGGAAGACTCTGGCTTTTGAATTACCTAGCTACTCCAGACTCAATCTGTGTAGTTTTTTAAATGAATGCAGCGTCATTGTGTAGAATACATAAGATACATGTGTGAGCACTTAACCTGATACCAGGGACTGTATCAGGGGCAATTTTGTATACGTGGGCAATTTCTTTTTTGTTATTTTATTCTTTCAATTAATTTTTATTGGAACAGTTGATTCACGACGCTGTGTTAGTTTCTGCTACACGCAGAGTGAATCAGCTATGCGTGTACATATATCCCCTTTTTAGAATTCCCTTCCCACGTAGGCCACCGCAGAGCGCGCGATAGTTTCCTGTGCTAACTATGCAGTGGATTCTCATTAGTCATCCGTTTTACACAGAGTATCAATAGTGCATGTCTGTTAGTCCCAGTCTCCCAAATCATCCCACCACCTACCTCTCCCCCTTGCTGTCCATAAGCTTGTTCTCTATGTCTGCATCTCTATTTCTGTTTTGCAAATAAGATCATCTATACCATTTTTCTAGATCCCACATATGTGTTAATGTACATTATTTGTGCCAATTTCTTGATGGATGGATATAAGGGGCCTTTATTCTTTGACACATCAATTAACTTCTGGGAATCTAGCCTATAGAGAACACATCTGAGCAGCCACAACAAATGATCAATGCAAGAATATGCTTATATCCCACTGATGATGGGTACGTCAGTAGAAATGCTTTATTGCTAGAAGTTTGTTTGGTAACTGCTCTTTGTTTTCAGAAGTGCAGGACTATCCCTAGCAAACATAGTTGGGACCTAACAATGCTTTTCTGGCTTAGGAGGTTGTTTGACCTGAATGATTAGCCTGCTCCAGGACTAGAAGCTGTACTGGGTGTCTAACCTCACTACCTGACCACTTTAGTGGGAAGTTAAATTCACGCAGCTAGGCAACCCAGGGCATTCCCTTTTGGAAATGCCTGCCATTCCCCGCCCCCCCCCGACCCCTCCCGAAGTGGTACAGGCTACAAGAATGACTCTAAAAGGCAGAGTTAGCATCATTCAGAGGCCTTGAGAGATTTTTAGGGACTAAGATGTGTCTGTGACTAGAACGCACTTGTGGCTGCCAAGGGGAGGTTGGGTGGGGCAACGATGATGGATTCGGAACCTGGGTTTAGTGGATGCAAACTACTGCAGGTAGGAAAGAACATGAACCATATATCTATTTATTCATATATATATATATATACACACACACACACACACACACCCATGTGTAACGGAATCACTTTACTGTACAGTAAAAATTAGTACAACGTTGCAAACCAACTATACTTTAATAAAATACATTTTTTCCAAAAAAAAAGATGTGTCCATGACTGTGTAGAGGACAATATTGTCTTACACTTACCTGAATACGTTTACTGACGGTATTGTAGAGATTAGCTTAGAATCTAAAAGAGACAAATGGTAGTGGTGCGAAATGAGAAGTTGTTGGCTATAAAGATTCCAAATGGCTTTCATGTTGTAGCAGCTATTCATGATCTAGAAGGTGCTCCAGGCTTTCTCCTTGTTCATCTAGTAAAAGTGAATCAGCACATGGCTCAGCTGAGCACACACACACACACGTCTTTATTTTCCTGTAACTTCCTCAAATAATCTGACCTGTTTTCTCACACTTATGCAAACAATAATCCTCCTCCTGCTTCTAGCATTTCCACACTTAATACTCCCCACTTCCGGTCCTTTCATGCACCCCTCAATCTTCATGTTACTAAAAACACTCTGAATACGTTAAAAATATGGCCAAAGTCATTTTACTGCTTCTGACTTTGATAACTTTGGCAAGCATAAAAGGCTTTTAAACTCCACTCTACTCATTTTTCTTGCCTCACCTCCTTCATAGCCCTGGCCCTCTCTGTCCCACTTCAAGTTCAGCAATGACTCTCTTTTCAGGAGTGCCATTTTGTTAATCTCGACAACTTTTGCGAACACCATGCCATTTACCGAGAAGGCTGGCTGGACGTTTGCGCCTGTCCTTCCCCACTTCCTTCTAGGGAAGCGTCACTTTCCTTAGGAAACCTTTGCTCTTTCAGCTGCTTCTTTCCCAGGCGGCCCTGGGAGCTGGTGTCAGTGGCATTCCACATTGTAACAACATTTTCTCAAGGGTACCGATTTGAAAAGTATCCCAGACTTTGGCATTCGTTGACTTGCAGTACATCATTACTCAGTGAACGAATGTTATTATTTTTATCCCTAGAAACTTCTGATGTTTCCTATCCCTCCACTGCCCTAGGTCTTTGATGACCCTTTTTGCAGATAGCACTGTGATCCAGAAAATAGGAATGGAAAACAATCTTGTGGGTGTATCTGAACAAAGCTAACATATTTTTCCCTTTAAGGTCTTACTGCTGAATGTGGAATAATCCTGAAATTAAGGTCAGCTCCAGGTGATTGTTTATATCAGCTGTCAGATTGCAGAATAAAAAATGGCTTTTATATATTTGATTTTTATTGTTTTCCAGGGCAATGTCACTTTCTCCTGCTCCGAACCACAAATTGTTCCCATCACATTTGTCAACTCCAGCAGCAGTTATTTGCTGCTGCCTGGTACTCCCCAAATTGATGGGCTCTCAGTGAGTTTCCAGTTTCGAACCTGGAACAAGGATGGTCTCCTTCTGTCCACAATGCTCTCTGAGGGCTCGGGGACCCTGCTGCTGAGTCTGGAGGACGGAACCCTGAGACTGGTGATTCAGAAAACGACAGGACGTGCAGCTGAAATCCTCACAGGTACCGTCTGCTGACAACTTCTCCATCACTTTCTTATTCAGCCAAGTCAACACATGTTTGAGATTCTGACCAAAACACACAGGCTCCAGCTCCCAGGGATGCGGGCTAATTGGTCTTCACAAACTTCAGGTTTGAAGATCCGATGGTTTTTTATTCTTTAAAAAAGTTATATTGTAGTATAGTTGATTTACAATGTTATGTTAGTTTCAGGTTACGCCAAAATGATTCAGTTATACATATACATATATATATATATATACACACACACACACATACACACACACACACACATGTATGTATGTGTGTGTGTGTGTATATATATATATATATATATATTCTTTTTCAGATCCTTTCCCCATCTAGGTTACTACACAGTACTGAGTATAGTTACCTGGGCTACACACTAGGTCCTTGATCATTATATATAGTAGTGTGTATCTGTTAATCCCAAACTCCTAATTTATCCCTTTTCCCCCCTACATTTTCCCTTTGCTAACCATATTTGTCTTCCAAGTCTATGAGTCTGTTTTTGCTTTGTAGATTTTTACATTCGTGTCATATTTCAGATTCCCCATATAAGTGATATCATATACTTTCTTTGTCTGACTTAGTTTACTTCATATGATCACCTAATCTTTATCTATGAAGATTGGAAAGCACTTCCTTTTACAGCAGTGTAAATTAGGCCCTAATGAGGGGCAATGTGGAACAGAGGTATGAACCACACCCTGGCTCTTCTGTCTTTCCTTTCACATGGAGCCATGAAATCTTCTCCCTCCTTCTATACTTGTTATATTACTGTCCTTCCAGAAACAGCATGTTCACTTAGTGACAAGTACTTACAGAGGTCAGACTTACATGCAGGCATTGGATGGGAGGCCAAGGCAGGCGGCTAGGTCAATGAATCCTCTTAGAAGCCTTCCTGGCTCTACAGTTTGAATCAAACCCCCTCTTCTGGGCCAATATCCGTTCCAGATTACATGATATTGCATCTTTCTTTAATTTAAGTATCTTTCTTCCCCCACTGGACTGTGAGCTCTGTCATCCAAACAAATTAGAGAAATTTGAGTTAGGGAGCAAAAGACATAATTTAATAGTTAAGATCAGGTCAGACTATGCGAAAGCTTCAGAGTCACTGGATGAACATACAAACCCCACTGAACCTCTGTAAATGACAGCAGAGTCTGGGTCTGCAAGTCAGTCAGGAGGTTCCAAAAGCGCCTCTTCCCCTGATTAGTCTGTGGCCCCAGATTAAGTTCCTAACTTTGTCTCCCATGTAAGAGTGCATTAGGTACCAACAGCTGCATAACAAATTACGCCAACATGCACTGACTGAAAACAGCATGCGCTGTGCCTCCGTTTCTGAGTCAGGAATCCAGAGGCCCCTGACTGGGTGGTTCTGGCTACAATCAGCTTGTTAGTAGGGGCAACGGTCTTCTCAAGTTTCAACCAGGGTTAACTCTGCTTGCAGGCTAACTCACATGGCTGTTGACAGGTCTCAGAAGATCCAAACCTAGCCCCACGGCCTCTCCAGAAGGCTGCCTCATTGATAGGGCAGCCTCTTAACCCAGAGTGAGTGGCTTTGGAGAGAGCGAGAAAGAACCCTAGGACAATGCCGTGGTGTTTGTGTATCTCAAAGCAAGAGTAGCTTCCCATCATTTTCAACATATTCTGCTCACTAGAAAAGAGAATAAATCTAGCCCTTGCTCAAGTCAAAGGGATTGTACAAGTGTTTACACGGCAGGAGCCATGGGTCATTGGGACCATCTTAGCATCTACCTGTAACAGGAGACGGAAGAAAAATCTTTATGTTACAGACTGTGATGCTGATTGAAAATGAAAGTGTTGGCCACTCAGTTGTGTCCAGCTTTCTACAGCTCATGGACTGTAGCCTGCCAGGTTGCTCTGTCCATGGGAATCCCCAGGCAAGAATCCTGGAGGGGGGAGCCATTCCCTCCTCCAGGGGATCTCCCCGACTCAGGCACCAAACCTGGCTCTCCCGCATTGCTGGAGGCCTCTTCACCACGGAGCCACCATGAGTTTAAATGGATCAAACCTTTGGCACAGTGCTGAGAAGCTACTAAGCAAGTTTCTCTTTCTCCCACACCAACTCAAGATCTCTGGCGAAAATAGGCCTCACTCCTCAGAGTCATAAAAACTGAGTGAATTTGCACACTCCTGGGACTTTTATAAAATTTCCAAGATTTCCAGTCATGGGAGGTGAGTTAATCTCTTAGAAACATACCAGTTTTCATGTGTAGAGTTAGAAAATTTAAACCTCTATCCTTATGTGAAGAAGAAAAATGGTGAGCCGGCACTGGACTTTTTCTCTTTAATTGGTGAGATGGTTGAGTGCAGAGACTTGTATGCCTCAGGTCAAAATGCAGTTTTAATAAAGTACAGGCCCAGTGGCACTTTGCTCTAAAGCATTCAGGTGTTACCTGTATTATTAAGCATGTGTCAGTCCATTAAAATGTGTTTATGACTGAGAGACAGGCTGGTAAAAGCTATCCCATTACCCAGCTACAGAGGGAGAAAAAAAAATCATTGGTTATTTTTCACCTGTCTCTCGAAAGGCTCAGACAAGAGAAGAAAGTTTTAAAAACATTCTGATGTCTGTCTCAGAAAACTTGTTTGCCTCTTTCCCCAAGAATTTCCTGAATTTTGGAAATTATGAATTTCTTTCTCTTTCCTTTGAAATGGATCAAGGCTTTCTGTCTCCTGGTGCTTTTCTATCCCAAGTAAATAACAGATAAACAAATAAACAAAAAAGCAAAAAAGCAAAGCTAGTTCTCTCCTCCCTTGCATTTCTGAGGAAACTTGTTTTCCAAGTACTTGAGATTGTATTGGCTTTGTCAGAAGTGAAAATCTCATGAGAAACTAGAAGATAATAAGTGCTGTTCTGGTCATTGCCGAGGGCCCTTGGGACTGCCCGTGACACATGGTCCTCCGTGGAAATGAGAGACTAGCACCACGCTTTATTGGTTGAACGAGGACTCCAGATGTCTAAAGATTTACTTGAGATTAGTTCAGGTGCTTCCGATGTCCTGAGTCTAGAAGAGAAGCTGACCCCACAGAAAGGGCAGGTCATGGATGCCTGGCACATTCACTACCAAGACCAGAGCTCATATGGTGTGCAGAGCTTTGGGGAGGCAGACTATTTTGTGCATTTCCGCACTGAACATCAGGAAGAGAAGTCCAAACTAAGTCATTCTCAAAACAGAAGGGCTCTGAATGTATTTGTTCTAAGGGATGAAGCTTCAGGAAGATGGAGGACAGTGGTGCAGTCCCTCCATTGCATCCTGCTTTGATTTCTGTTTTTGCCGTCTCCTTTCTGGAAAGCGCTGTGCCTGTGGACATGAGGAAGACTCAAGGGCACCCTTTCACTGTGATGTGCCAGTAGCATCAACAAACACTGTGGTTCTCTTGAAGGTCAGGCATTATGCTAGGGCCTTATCATATAATACTACAGAAAAAAACTCATGAGACATATGAAGTGATTCTCATTTTACCAACATGCGTAAGAGAATACTGAGAGTCAGAAATTAAGATCTCTTGACCAAGAAGGTATTCAAGCTCAGGCTTTTTCTTTGTACTCCTGGGCCAACGGTTTTCACACTGTATCTTGCTGACTCTTACATTTATTTTTTATATTGTTAGTTGCTTGAAAGTGAAAGACGCTCAGTTGTGTCCGACTCTTTGCCACCCCCTGGACTTATAGTCCACAGAATTCTCCAGGCCAGAATACTGGAGTGGGTAGCCTTTCCCTTCTCCAGGGAAAGAAGGAAAGGTCCTTCCCAACCCAGGGATTGAACCCAGGTCTCCCACATTGCAGGAGATTCTTTACCAACTGAACTATCAGGGAAGCCCAATATCACTTGCTTAAAGAATTCAAATATAAAGAAACTCTGCTTTAGCTGAAAGATGAAATGACAATAGGCTATTAAAGTAGTCTTCATAGGATTTAAAGTTGACTTTTCCCAAAACATTTTACTTGGTGGGCCCATCAATAGACAGATTTGGGGATTAGATGGGGTTGACAACAGATGATGAATCCACTGTCTTTGTAGACTTTAACTGACATTGCCTGTATACAATTATAATGTAAGTTACGCATACCTAACACGCATGCTACTGTCCATTGAGTATGTGTGACATAATTTTCTCAGACCTTTTTAAATGCTCAGTGCTGATTCCTTAGTAAAATTATGACATGATTTTATGTACATCACGTAAGTACAAAGGGAACTGGGCTTCCCAGGAGGTGCAGCGGTAAAGAATCCAGCTGTCAGTGCAAGAGACGCAGGTCGATCCCTGGGTCAGGAAGATCCCCTGAGGAGGAAATGGCAACCCGCTCTAGGATTCTTGCCTGGAAAATTCCATAGACAGAGGAGTCTGGCAGGCCACAGTCCATGGGATCGCTAAGAGTCGGATGACCGAGAACATGCAGTAAGAGCCTAGATGCTTCCAGAGACTTTGCCACGCACGGGACAGGCTTTCCCATATTCGAGTCACCTCTGCATTGCAAACCCCAGCGGGAACTCTGGAGGCTGAATGGGAACGGGGAGGAGACTTTCCCGGAGTCCTCCTGCCAGGTGAGGGGCATCGTCTCCCCCTTTAAGAATCAGAGCAGCCAATTGCGCAAATCTTAAATACATACACATCTGGACCTCCTCCTTCATGCATTTCAAACCCCAGCTCCTCACCGCTTCTCCCCAGGAACCGCATGTCTTGGGGACTACACTCTCAGGTCACACCTGCTCCTGGAATGATTGACAACAGATTCTATTTTTAAATGCAGGATGGCTGCCATTTTAAAAGGCTCTTAAAAACATGCTTAGGATGTAGATGTTATTGTCCAGACCAGGCTGGATGACTAAGAACAGGAACTTGTGTAAAAGTAAAGGAGACCACTTGGCTTGATCAATGCAGTGTTTTGAATTTCAAGTGAAACATTAAGTCATGTGAAGAAAAGCTGGCACCACTATAATTATTCTGCA